GCTTTGGTTCATTTGCGCGCATTTTGTCAATAATCGTCTCAAAGAAAGGTATTGAAGACATGATTTTCATGGATTCATACGACGAAACCCCTGATAAAAGTCCCGATTGTAGTAACTGTTTGGCGCCGTTCTCTCCGGGCTTTTGATCCTTTTTATCGCTTTCTTCAGAAACGAGTATTTCTTCAGTGAATCCATACGAAGACAACTTTCCAGTAAATGACTGGTCGGCCACAAACACTATGTGATGGCCACGACTTTGAAGCACTTCAGCCAAACCAATGCAGGCGTTCACATGACCCACACCTTCCATGGGTGCCACCAATATTGTCAACTTCTTCGCCATTTTATCAATATTTTGTTAATTTGAGAAAATATTAATCATTTAAATAACTTTTTGCACTTTAAGTTATGAGCAAATGATTGCAGGTCCAGACACTTTTATAGGGCTATAACATAAATAAATACGTCAAATAGTTTCCATATCTTTATCTAAATTGTCTAAATAATCTTATGATAAATAAGTGCATTACAGAGACTTTTACTTAAGGATAATTATATTTATTCCTTGATCTATTTTTGTATTTACATGTAATTAAGTTCAAAATAAATATAATTCATAAGACACTCATGATAAACTCATCAAAAATCTATTAATTGATTTCATTAAAAGTCACAAAATAAATTATTAGTCATATAGTACCGTAATATGGTCTTAAATATTTGAATTTCATAATTTAAAAAAATATTCAACATAAATTTTATTAATAAAAATATAAAACAACACATTAAGTGCGAATTAAATTTTTATTTGTAATTAAAATGGTTTATCACCCTGATCAAAATTGAGTGCATTTTAATAAATTCTTCAACTAAATCATTGTTTGTTTGGACTGCACCCTAGATTATCACCTATTTTAGTGGATTTGTCCATTTTATAACATTTAGTGCATCAATATAAACAATGAGTAAATATTTTAATTAAATAAATAAATCATATGTTTGAATATATCATTTGACGAGATTTTCGATCAGTTCTGCAGCTCTTTCAATGCTATTAGAGCTCAGCATTCGTTTGGAAGCGACGGATAATCTTTCATTCAATTCCTTATCATTCAATAGCTTTTCGATGGAATTCAGTAATTCTTGTTCTGAACAGTAATAGGGATTCAGACGAATCCCATAACCCTTTTCCAGTATTCTCTGTGCGTTATCGAACTGATCCGCAAACAAAGGCATTACAATCATTGGTTTCCCATAACTGAAGGTTTCGGTGACCGAGTTGTTCCCGCCGTGAGTTATCACCAGATCTACTAATGGCAACACTTTTGTCTGCGGAACCGACTTCTCGCCCCACATATTGTCCGCCAATTCATAAGTGTCTCCGAGAACTCCCTTCGAGACAATGAACTTATGGTTGGATTTCGAGAGAATCGCCACAAATCTCTTCATAAGATTCACATCCACTGAACCCATAGAACCCATTGAGAGGTAAATTAATTTACTTTTTTGTTCATCTCTTTCACGAAATTTGTCGGGAATTTTGAATTCTTGCTCTCCTTTTCTCATAAACGCGTCAATTCTGCACCACTTCTCAGGAATTGGTCGGATGTCTGTGTAATCTAGTTCTTCGGGATAGCCATAGATATTCAAATATGGAGATTCAGGAAAAAGCTCATTGACTTCAACTGTAGGAAACCCTTCCTCTGTCATCCATTCATTGTATTTAGTCTTTGGTTTTGCGAATGACTTGTCAGAGAGCTCTTGAAATTCTTTCCAATCATTTGGGTTTCCATTCGTTGGGAAACCTGTTATGAAAGCAAATATTATTAATATACCAGTAATTAATTGTGATATAAAATTGGATTAATGATAAATTAATCTGGATTATTAATAATAATACTGTAAAACTGAATAATTAAGCGCAGACCTGATCCAGCCGGCGGTGTATTATCATCTTTGAGTGCAAACAATGGATTCCCAGACATAATCAAAACCCACGGCTTCTTCGAGTGGATTAGTGTCGGCGAACCAATGAAGTCATCGATGAGAAAAACATCCGGATTATGTTTGGCTACAATTGTTTTAAGTTTAGGCTCATTTGCACGCATTTTAGTGACAACCATATCCAGGAACGGCAGGTTTTGCATAATCTTCATCTTCTCGTATGACGAAACCCCTGACATGAGTCCCGATGTAAGCAATGATTTTGCGGCCACTTCTCCGGGCATTTTGTCCTTTTCATCGGAAGTCAAGATTTCTTCAGTGAATCCAAACCGACATAACTTTCCTTCATATGACTGGTCGGCCACAAACACTATGTGATGGCCACGACTTTGAAGCACTTCAGCCAAACCAATGCAGGCGTTCACATGACCCACACCTTCCATGGGTGCCACCAATATTGTCAACTTTGGCGACATTTTATTAAGACTTTTTGTGATTTAATGATTATTTGAATGTTAACTTAAGTTTAACTTTTGAAAATGAATCGTTTTATTTTCAATTGAGCTATTTTTATATCATTTCGAAACTGCAGTAATTACTGTACTCTACAACTTCTACATACTTTTATCTTAATCTTCTCTATAAAGAAAAACTATAAGTTTAATTATACGTTTATTTTGAGAACCTTGATAAATTAAATAAACATATTATGTGTGTCCTGCATTACTGTAGTTATTTGCACCTAATAAATGCATTTTCATAAAATCTATAATTAATATTTAGTGCTTTGGGTACATTTGACTTATTATTTTTTAAGAAAGATAATATCTAAGAAACATTTTATAACCAGTAAAACCAATTACATAATTTTTTTAAAATCTATAAACCGTGAATAAATTAAAATAATAAATTACCATTAATAACAAAGTATAGTCTCTATAAATGTTATCTAATCTCATTATATTTATCACTCTTATAATGACATTAAAAACAACTCAAAGTATGATCAGATCATCAAGTTGCATTTTAATTTAGATTATAGTGTATTATTTTCATCTTAATGTATCTTTAATAATTTATTTATTATTAAATCCAATTTATTGTTTTTATTTCTAAAATATCAATTTTTTTGAATAATAAACTTTATTAAATAAAGATACAAATCAATCTAACTTGCTTGTTAAATATATAAGTTTGTAAAAATGGATTTTGAATAATAACGTTACTAGTAGCTTAAAACAAATAAACTTAATAATACTGTATAAGATGGGTAATTTGTCTATATATTTCATAAGTTTGAACTCAATTTAGTACATAAATTGAACTTAAAGGGCATTTTTATCGGAACAAGTTATTGTCAATAATCGTAACCTTGAGATCAATTATAAATACATTCAATTCATTTCAAGTTTATTTACTTATTAAATGTGTTTGCTTATAATTAAAAACATATATTCCCCTATACTTTATATTAAGTATATAAGATTTATTATTTAATACAAAATTCACTATTAATGAGCAAAAAGTTGACCATTTTATTCGCACCGGTAGAAGGTGTGGGTCGTGTGAACGCCTGCATAGGACTGGCTGAATGTCTGCGAGATCGGGGCCACCAAATCATATTCGCTGTCGACGGCTC